TTTTGTCCTTAAGACAGCCCCAGTAGAAAAAATCTAATGGATTCAGGTCTGGCGATCGAGCGGGCTACGTGATTGGCCCGTATCGTCCAATCCATCGGCAAGGATAAGTTTCGTCTAAATGAGCTCTTACTTCACGCCCGTAGTGAGCAGGGCACCCGTCATTTTGCCGCCATAGTCATCGCCGCAGGTTTAAGGGTACATCTTCCAAAAGAGTTGGAAGCCGTACCTGAAGGAACTCTAAATAACTGTGAGAGTTGAGCGTTGGCGGCAGTTCCACAGGTCCCAATATCTGACAATTAAAAATACCGCACCATAAATTTATTTTGTACCGGTACTGCGAACGATCTTCTCTCATTTCGTGAGGATTGTCTATCTGCCAACTGTGAAGGTTATGTAAATTAAAATAACCATCACGTTTGCATGATGATTCATCGCTCCAAATTATTTTATTAAAAAAGTTGGGGTCTGATTCATGCATTCGCAACATTTCACGGCAAAATCTAACTCTCGACAGGTAATCTCTTTCTTGTAGAGCCTGAACACGTTAAATGTGGTAGGGCTGAAATCGATGGTCTTTTAAAGCTTTGTGAACTGTAGTTTTTGGTATTCCCGTCCGTCTTTCCATCATTCTCACTGAAGTCGATGGACCTAGTTCCACTTCCTCTAACACAGCTTCAACATCTACCGCTGCAGAACGTCCTGTTTCGCCGCCACGCCTTCCAGGTATGCGACCTTAAAAAAGTGAAAAATGATAGTTAACAAGCAAGCAAACAAGAAAGGTGTAAAAATCACTTACCTTCATATATTTCTCTATGGGTCCGGGCGAATACTTCACGACCCGGATGTCGACGATTGGGGTATCGCTCTGCATAGAGTCTTTGAGCAGGTCGGGCATTACAGCAAGCTTCACCGTAAATTAGGTGAATATCCACATATTCATGCGACGTATACTGCGTGTTCTCTGTCATAGTATTAATAACACATTGTTCGAAGGGTCCAATTTCACAAAATCCACTTTCACTAATTCCGGTAAGTAACACAAACTAATGTCAGGAGCAGGTAATAATGTATGTACCTTTGTACTATTTAGCATGTCATTTGACGGTAACAAGAGCAAATTCAATTTAAATCTATTAAATACATTCTAGCGTGTCTCAGTCCTTTACCCACAAAAGCGGCTATAACTTTTTTTTCTATTCAAAACAGTAAGTGTGGCACCTTTCTAAAATCTTTATTAAATGAGCAATTTTTTTTTAATGAAATGTAAAGTTATAGCTCAGTACATTTTTTTTTTCACCCGAGATAGTCAAAGTTGGGGAAGGAAATATCAAAAAGTTACAAATCCAGAAATAGTCCTAAATTTATGATGGTTCCTTAATATATTTTAACTACATTGCATTTGAGTATGGAGAGGCAACTATCTGGAAGTATTTTACATAAAAAATTTACTAAGTATTGCCCGGTTTGTAGTTGCAGTTAAAGAAAACACATGAAAAGGCACGATTTTTTTTAAATTCGAAAAAAATGTAAATATTTCAAAAACGGTGACACTTTTACCTGAAAATTTTTTGTTTATCAGTGAGCTCACAACCAATTAAATATTAATATTGATGATTTTTGTTATATTTTGGGAAAATTTTCAAATAGAAAACCCAAGTAAAAGAAATTAAATTTTTTTCAATGAGTTGTACAAGTAACATGAAATTAAATCGAAAATAATATATAACATTTTCCGACTTTTGTGATATTTTATTAATAATTGCAGATAGAAAAGTCCCATGAGTGTGTTTTTTGTGAAAATATTGTTTGATAAAAAAATCCCTTTTTTCGGTGATTTCTACAAATACCGTGAAAATAAATCGAAAATGTTATATAGCATTTTTTCGATTTTTGTAATATTTTCAATTATAAAACTTTATTAGTATTAGAGTTTTTAGGAGAAAAAATAATTTCTTCTCGGTGATTTGTACGCACAACGTTAAAGTAAATCGAAAATATTATATAACATTTTCCAATTTTTGTGTTATTTTCAAGTAAAAAACTATTGGTATTGGACTAAAAAAAAAACCTGTGAAAAGAATTGTTTTCCTTTTTTTGTAGAGATCTCACAAAACTAAGTCGGAAGTCCATATAAATTTTTTACATATTTTCTATATTTATGGAAATAATTCAGTTTTTAATTGTTTTCGACTTGGAAACTTTTTTTAAAAATACTAAAAATCTGAAAACGTCCGATTTTCCCAGCAATTAGTAAAAATCTCGCTAATCTAAGCCGAAACTATTTAAGAAATTTTTCAAAATTTTCGATATTTAGGGAAATAATGCAGTTTTCAAATCTTTTCTAATGCAAGAAGTTACCATTGGATGGGTGGCAGCTTCGCTACTCATGTACATATTTGTCCCCCACATTGTCATTTACATATCTAATTAATAATTAAACCTAAATTTATAAAGCACATATTTGTAAACTGCATTTCATTGATATTACCTATTTCTGATACCAAATTTTTCATGCATCTAAAAAGACAAACAAATGAAAATGTAAGTATGTATGCATTTATAAATGTACATAAGTACATACATATATACGATTGTTTTGCTTTCGTCTTCCCCGCGCCGCTTCCATCTACACGAATTATTCAATTTCTGCGAATCGCCACCAGATTGGCACGTGCGCGAAACCATTAACCCTACATTTGCGAAATATTTAGATTTTCGCATAACTTTGCATTGAATATGGCAATACTTGTACATTTTGTATGGAGAATAATATTAATTAATTTAAAATTCTGCATGTAACCATGTTCTCGACGATACATGTAACTTTCATCAAGATTAACCATAAAAATTGTGCTTCATTAACAGTTG